CTTGCAGATGCTGCTACTGGCGGACGACCCAGCCCGTGTCACCAGCAGTCACGACGAGGTTGCGAAACGCGAGGATGCACGCTAGAAACAACTGCGCGTCGTCATCCCCTCGATGCCATCCTTCTTCGAGAAGGTTGGCAGACTCAGCGACGAAGCGTTGAACCGGGGCGACATCAGCGTGCTTGCAGCGTGCTCGAGTTTACGCTGGGCGATCATCATCGCCATGGGAAAGACCGATGGGCACGCTCTTATGCCCGGTGAGCCCGGTTTCGTGGCCAGTAGGAGATTGGGTCTTCTTCTGAAGATCTGTCAGAGAGTACCTGGTCTCCGCCTGCTCGAAGTCTCCTTGCGAGACCACACAGACTTGGACGCCTTCTTAGAGGACCCCGATAACGACCCGCGCCTCGAGCTCTCCTCTCGCAACGCATTGACCCTGCTACATGCTGCCCATCGTTGCGGTTGGCCGGATGGTTGGCAGCAGCCAGATGCGACCTACCTTCCAAAAGGCACGCCTAGTATGTGGGACTGGCACAAATCGTTCGGCGGGAAACGTTCGGGTCCCAGGGATGCAGGGTCTCAGTATCTGCGCGACCTCTTCAATGACGACCTCGTCAAGCTGTCGATGCAAGCAGGCCCAGGCTTGACGGTTACCCACAACGCTCATCTTGATCCCCTTGTGCTCACTGCACTACGTGACCTTGCGCTCGTCGCCGATCCACAGGCAGCCTTTACGCCGGATGATGGCGGCGCGGAGAATGGCGGCGCTCACGACGAGGGCGCCCAGCATGATGTCGCTCAGGATCGCGCCCGCAATGGCGGTGCTCAGGATGGTGGGGACCAGAACAACGGCGCGCAGAACGGTGGCGCGCAGAATGGTGGCGCGCTGGACGATGGCGCGCTGGACGGCCGTGCTGAGAACGATGGCGTGCAAGACGACAGCATCCAGGACGGCGACGCGCTAAACCAGAGCGCGCTAAACGGCGGCGCTGAGAGCGACAGCGCGCATGACGACGGCGCCCAGTATAGTGGCGCGTTGAACGGGAGCGCACAGAATGGCGGCGCTCAGGATGGTGGCTCGCTGAACGGAGGCCCTCGAAACCGCTGCGCTCAGACAGAGAGTACACAGAATGGCGGTGCGCTGCACGGGAGCTCGCTAAATAGTGCCAGCGCCGAAGACTCTGCGATGGGTGCAACGCAGAACTTCGACCCGCCCCTCCCTTCTGATTCGCCAAATTCCATCCGCTATCATACCGACGTTGGCGACGTCCCCTTTGCAAAGGATGTGGTCGGCTCGCACGTCACTCTGGGAGCTCAGAGCACTGAGTGTGAGGCCGGGCTTGAGGACGAGCGCGGGAACGGAATCGGCATCGATTTACCGGGTGCGGAGCCGGGCAGGAGCGCAAGCTCTCAAATCTCTGCCTCGAGCGCGACGCATGCAACTGTCGAAGCCAATGCTTTGAGTCCTTCTGTTGCCGCTGTGGCCGGCGATGGCGTCGATCTCCCGGGTGCGGAGCCGGGCACGAGCGCGAACTCTCAAATCTTTACCTCAAGGGCTACCCAAGCAGCAGCTGTCGCAGCCCAAGACGCCCAAAGATCAGGCTGATGGGCTGATGGCTGCGCCTGGGGCGGATTGAGCTTCCTCTGTATCCGCTGAATTGTGCGTGCTATTCTCGGAGATATGATGTTCTCGCCGTTGTTCATTGCGCATATAGTCTACGTGCATCTCGCGTTGTCTCGTATATCTAACCTCCCTTCGCTCTTCACGGTCCTACTGGATCCTCTATGCATATACTTTCGCTTCCCAATCCTATTGTCCTTCCCCAAATCCCATTCGCCTCTCCAGCAGCAGCGGTTTTCTCTTATCGCCCGTATGGACGCATAACCCACTTAGACTCTCTTTTACGCACACCACTCGTTCAATTGGCGCCACTTCCGACTGTCTTCTCGGACTTCCGAGCTCATCATGTTCAGAGCGAAAGTCACCTCGTTTCGGGCACTTACTGTACCTCCCATTGTACGAGCTTAGCTGAGACTACAAACTTGAAGGCATACATCACACAAACTTCATACCTCCTTGCAGCTTCACTGAGGCCACTGATGCGCCCGAAAGCAAGGCACGACATCGGTACAGAGTCTGGGCCTTGTTTCACGCGAGTT